ACCAATAAATTAGGAAACAAATCCTATAAATAATTTTTTTGCTTATACTAACTTAAGAATGCAAATCACAATTTAGGTTAAAAAAAATTATAAGTAACACTAACATTTTTATATCTTTCAATAAAATGGACATTGATGCATGAATAAAAACATAAAATAAAATAAAATAAAAAACCAGAGCGCCGCAAATGCAATAAAAATATAAAAAAAAATCGGAGCCCAATTGCAATAACATTTTTTACAATGCAATTGGATAAAAAAAAGCATTAGTCTGATACAGTAATAAAAACATTAAAAAAAAAACACTAAATTTGTACAAGAACAAAAAACAATATATATATATATTATAGAGCAAGAGAAGAGTCAATTTTGTTTAAGAATAAACAAAAAAAAAAAAAAAAAAAAACACAAATAGAATGGAGTTGACTTGTTTCTGAATTTAAAACAAAGTCCTAAATTTCTTGAAGTCAAAACAAAGACTTTAAGCAAAATCAACACTTCTCTTCCTGGATATATGGTGAAAATAAGAGAAATGGCTGATTCATGGACCTTTTTGTGTTTTTCTTTGACTGAAATTGAAGGAGAGAGATATGGGTTCTGTTTCCGTGTTGTTTGTGGCACCGTCAGTCAAAACGTGCTGTTTTTTTCGGAACAGTACTGTTCCCTCTTTGTTCTCACCATCTGCACTATGTGGCTCATTGCAGTCCATTGGATCAACTCTTCTTCACGTGTCTTCATCTGGTACAAAGTGATGACAGTGCTGGAGGAAACCATGGCTGGAGAGGACTTTATCCATTCGGGATCAGCTGTAGTTGTCTCGCTTGACCGAAGTAAAGAAAGAGACAAAGAGGGATGTCCCTACTTGTACATACTTTAAACTCCCACTTGTGTTTTAAGCTCCCACTTGTGTGGTAGTGGGTAAATTTCTCGTCATTGTCAAGAAGAAAACAAATTGAATCAGGACAATATATAAGAGGTTTTGGTAATGTGTCTTAAGATGATTTGTTAAGAAAACATTAATGAATATATTTTATATTAATTTGTATAGAAATAGTACAATATTAAAAGTTGTCTTAATTATAAAAAATAGTACAATATTAATTTGGCGCTTAAATTATTTGTATATATGTGAATTGTGATTTTTAAATATAATATATATTTTTTTTGCACAAAGAAAAGGAATATAACAAATGCAGCATATCTTTCAATCAATTATTTTATGTTTAACTTTTTATTCAAAATTTAAAAATAATGTACAGACAAAATTTATATCTAAATTAAGGAAAAGTTTATTCCTAACAACATTTTTTTACTTCTATATAAATTACTTAAAAAAGATAAACCTGAAAAAGGTAGTCATATAACTATATACATTAAGTAAAAAAATGTGGTTAGCAAATTATGCCTTACATAAGTTTACTATAGTTTTAATTTCAAATTAAAAAAAAAAACTATTTTAAAAGCATTTTATTTAGCTAGTACCAATAAAATTTCTTAGCAAAAAGAAAGTTATAAAATTTTGTTACAAATTTCAAATGTCTATTGTTAAAACATTCTATTTTACTTGTTTGCTTGCTTGCTTACTTGGAAGTTTTGATTTTTGATCTTTGTTCCAACATTTATCATATTGTTTTATTTATTTTTCTTCTCTTACTTGATTTTGCAATGATACTTCTTTCATAATGCATTTCTGAATGTATTAGTGAAAATATCATAGCACTTAAAATGCACAAAATTACAATATATAGAAAAAAAAGTAAGTAATTGCTCAAAAAAAAACTACTTAAGAAAAATAAAAAAATAAAACAAAAATAAATTGTTTGAAATAGAAAATGATTTATTTATTTATTAATTAATTTTTAAAAACAAACTCTTAAGAAAACAAAGAAAACTATATATAATATATAGTATATAAACCAAACATAAAATATAATACAAAAAATAAATGAATTACAAGATTTTCAAGAAGTGAAGTCACAAACAAATTTTGTAAAATTTATCTATTCATATACGTTTTGTGTGTATATATGTATATATTTATACTTTTAATTCCGATAATGACATTGAAATAGTTTGTACTTCTTGCATTAGGTCCATATAATAGTTTTAGTAATCAGAGATATAACAAATTTTAATAACACAAACACAAATAATTGTGTGAGACAAAGTATCTAAAAAAATGAAATCAATGTTCAATGATAATATAGATGCACATCTGACGGTATAATTAAAGGTTAAACCAGATAAATTACCATAGAAGAGGAAAGACAATCTTTATTTTTCATCGCTAAAATTACATAACTCAATATAATAATTTTAATGTCTGTCACTGTTTCACACGTCCAATTCTCTATCAAATTAGAATAAATGCATGAACCAAAAAAAGGGAACATTTGAAAAGACAAAGAGATGTGGTTGGAGACCTTTCAATTACTGAATGAAAAATGCTTGGGAGCACTAATTAGTGCTCCACTAATTAGGTGGCAGTGGGTCCCGTCATTAATGATGTGATGTTTGGTCCTTGGAGTTGTATTTTTTTTTTTTTAAACTTTTTTTAATGCATTAGTGCTATTAAGTGGTGATGTTTTTTAGTGGGATGAATCATTGTTGTTACTGAATCTATTAATTAATAGTCATTAGGCTTTCTAATACTTGTTACCATTAAAGCTGAGATATTTGGTTTAATCTATATTCACTTGATAATTTGAGAGTTGACACATGTCAAGCCTTTTATAACAAATACTTAGCAATATTTTTTTAGCATTATTAATGAATTGCACAGTGTAAAATTTTATTATTATTATTATTATTATTATTATTATTATTATTATTATTTTGCAATTGTAACCTGTTATTTTTTAATAAGAATTTATATTTATTTTAGATATTTTTTTTTAATATACAGATTAATTTTTTACAACGTAATTTTTTTCACTTT